CAGAAATGATGCAAAGTTTAATTATCAAGCAGCGGTTTTTTTTTAAAGAAGAAATGAACAAATTAGCCATCTACGCAGCATGAGTGGGTATATCACTCAAAGTAATCAAAAAGACCTATATCGTAAGCATTACAGACGCTTATAAGCAGTCAGAAGAAATTTAGTCTAAGCATTTATCTAATTCCAATATGGCAGCTCACTTAAGAGGAAGGTTTTCATTTACATTAGAAAGATTTCAGTTCTCAGAGTTTAGGTTCCGAAATAACTGCGTTATCAGCTTTATGCAAGGTTTGTAGCATAGGTTAATCTAGAAATGGTACGGTCCAGAAATGTTATTATTTTTTTAGAATAAAGAGGCAGTTGGTCGCAAGAGCCTTAAACATGACATGACCATCTTTAAGTGCCATGCAGATACCCCCTTATACACAGAAGCCTGTGGATCTTCAAAACGACAACTCTCAGCAGATAGTCTATGAGGGTTGCTTTGCTTTGCAGTAGGCTGCCATATCCGAATGTCAAGAAAGTGCTTGGATATACAGCTGCATATAAATATCGAACAGACACTGACATTCTTGCTAAATTAACAAAAAAACTCCTCCTTTATTAAATTTTAAAACTAACACATATGAAAATATGTACCAGCTTAACTGTTTAATTTTCTCCCCAAATTCAATCAAAAATAGGTCACAGTTTTCAATTTCCTTTTGAAGTAGAAAGATGCTGTTAAAATTGACATTTGTATTATTTTTAAGCATTTAAAATAACTTTTTTACTATAATAAATATTTTTCCCAGAATCTGTCTTTTGTTCTTACATGAGCATTTAACAGGGAAGTTACATTTATGGCTATATACATAAAATATAATTACTTCACAATTACGTTTGATTACAATTACATTTACTTAGCCTTTTCATTCAAAGATCTGATTTAGTGCAATATATCTTAAAACCAGGCAGATGGCACAGTCCAGACAAAAATCCCTTTTTAAATTCTTCTATTGTTGTCACATTTTTCAGTGGACACATAGAACCATCCTGTGGGTCTTAGTGCCCCCTCCATAAGTAAAATCACCTCTAGAAATGCCTTTCTGCTAGTTTTAGTAGAGCTAGTAAATATCCACGAAGACCCCTTCTTTACTTTTTACTGTTGCATGCCTTTCAATCAAATGATAATAATCCAAACAAAATTGTAAATTCATATCTTTATGGCCTTTCAAAACTCTTCGATTCGTTTCAAAGATTTCAGATTCTGATTTCAAATCAGTCTGAATTGCGAGAAATTTGCTGCACACTTTGTGAACCAGTTGTTACTTTATGGTTAAAAAAAAAAATTAACTACTTGCAGGATTGCCACTCAAACACAGCATCTAGACTTAAATTCAAAGAATAAAATTCCCTGACTTTTCCAAGTTTTCCAGGTGTGTTTTAAGAAAATTCCAGTCCAGATGCATAGTACACTTTGGCTGTGCACAGGGTAAATCAATTATGGTACTTGAAAACACAAAAATTTGCTATTTATATATGATTTTGATAAAAAAATATCCTACATTGAAAATCTCCAAAGCATTACTATTATAACTACAATATGGGTGCCCCTTGGTGATAATCAGTGGTACACGGACACAGAGTTTGTGCAATTCTTTGACTTGTTATTTCGGCTTTGTGTAGCAGCGAAATCGCCGCTTCTGCATAAAATTTATTGCAAAAGGAATCATTTCTTCAATGAAAAAAAGAGAAACTAGATTGCTCACAAAGAAAAGAAAAACTAGTTTGCTAGATGATGAGATCTTGCTGGGTTCAATATATGTAGATCCGACACATCGAATTTTCTTGGATGACGAACAAATTAAAAAGGCAAAGAAAGTTATCTATGAACTTTCATTAAGAATGAAATTATTCTCAGAACAAATGGAGAGTTTGAATCAGGACAGCCAAACTGCAGACATTGCAACTGAGTCTCTATCATCCTCTGCCAGAGATGAATTAGATTTTGAGAAATATTTTTGGATAATATTGAAAAGGCTAAGGCAAAGCAAATGAAAATAAAGAACCAACAGCTTTAAGATATGAAATGAAAAAATACAACAAGATTCTACATGGCTTTGAAGAAATTAGAGAATATGATTGCTTTGCAAGTCACCTTAAAAAATCTATCCTGAAAAGTAAAAGAAGTACCCTAACAGTAAAGCTCTCCTCTACTCAAGCAGTGTGGAAAGACTCTATCAAATCAGATCTATATCTCTAACAAAGAAGATCTAGCGGAAGCTATACTGTTTCTTAGAAATAATTAATGCCAATTTTTCGATTTCATAATAAAGGCTAACTAATATAAATAATTTGTTACGCCATCAATTTTTTTCTGTAGCATCTATTAATTCTTTTATATTAAAGAAATAAGCTGTAACCCATGTGTATATATTTACATATATATATCTATCTCTCTCTATATATAGATAGATATATATATGAGGGAGTCGGAGTCTTTAAAATTCCAGGAGGCGGAGACAGAGTTGGAGTCAGTCATTTTCCCTATCGACTCCACAGCCCTGCTATTATGTTCTTTTTTTCTTTAAATTTCATTAATTTTTGAATTGAGGTGAATTGAATTTTGAATTGGAAGAGTTTTGGTTTTGACATTTATTAAATTCTTTTTTACATTTATAGGATTATTTGAAATTTATTACTTAAGAATTTCAAATTTTTGGCCTATGTAAAAAAAAAAAAATTGTTCTAAATTTCTTACTTTATGTCTTTAGAAATATCAAATTTATATGCTAAAATATTATTTTAAAATAAACATTACACATATTAACCCATTATTGTCTTTCCTGAAAATCATATCTAGGTTCTATATACAGCCCAATATTTTTTAAAAACATTTAACGGTAATCTATTACTCATTCTTTAATTCTTCTATTTAAAGAAAGTGCATTTAATGGATTTCTCCTCCAAATAAAGTATTTGGATTTTTTTTTACTTTCTTTTAGAATACTTTCAGCAAATATAGCTCATATCCTTGAAGCTGTTTTACTTGATTTACCATTACTAAATTCTGCTTCAAAGCTTGCAGTTCCTTGCTTTTCTACAAAATTTTACATTTTATCACTGTTTGCTGCTTCCACAGAAGCTATATGACTGGCTTTATTTTTATTCACTACAAACTGATTAATGAATATTTTATAATTTCAGTACAACAAAATAAATTGAACATCTTTAAGAATTGAAGACTAAAATGCAGAATCACCCACTTATTTGGCGCATTGTGTTTGACGCTTTTTACGAGATTGATAAATGCATCAAGTGGTATCCAAGTCAATTTTAATTGTTTTAAATTAAGAATTTCTTTTGAGCGTGAAATTCAGAGCATTTTCCCGCATGCTCAGTATGTATTTTAAAATTTAGAATTTTTGCTTGGTGTAGACGATAATAGATGGTAGAGGTGCAGTTATTTTAAACAATAATTCGAGAACATTTCGAGAATTCGTTACTTTTTGTTCTTAGGCTGAAAGGAGTGGATTACCCCTTTTCAGCCAAGTGAAATTATTTTTATTTTCCAGTGTTTTGTTTTAATGATTTTTAGTTTTTAAAATTATGTTTTTGTAAGGACTGGATTTTCATATTTAAAAATTTTTTGGAAGTGAAGTATTAATTTTGAGGGTTTTTGTAAAGATTTTATGTTCTTTAAACTTACTATGTTTTTGAACGATTTAGGTTTTTAAAGTTATTAGGTTTTTTTTTTTTTTGAAAGGATTTCCAGCTTTGAAAATTTCCCACTTATTTGTTTGGTGCTTTTTACAAGAGTAAGAAGAATTGGATTTTTGTCATTTTTCTTTGATTTTTTTAAGTGAAAATAGGTTGATATGTACATGGATAATGTCAATAGAGTGCACAATGTCATTTTTGTGCAATTCTGGGATGTTTTTTTAAGTGAAAATAGGTCGATGTGTACATGGATATCGAGTTTGTGCAATTCTTAAAAACGCGTCAAGCCGTGGGTTATTCTGCACTTTCCAGAATTTTTTTAGGTTGATCTTTACATTATGGTAACTTGGCGTTTTTTTGGCAACCAACTCTCCTACAGCAACCCTCTATTTTTTTTTTCCCGCCGCCATTTTGTCTTCACGAAGTAAAGACATGTTTCTTTTCTTTTTATCTACTGAACACTTCTTCCAACATCTACTAGCCGAATTACACTATGCTAGAAATTTTTCTAACAAAACTGCTTAATCATGACAAATATTCACTGCAAATTGGGAAAAGTGCACAATACCATACTCCTTACGCGTTTTTCAAAATAACACATACACATAAACCATGTAACGCCGACTTATTTTTACTTAAAAAAACATCCCAGAATTGCACAAAAATGGCATTGCACACACTCTTCACTATATCCATGTACACTGTTTTTTTTCTCATAAAATTAGAAAAATTTTCACGAAAATACCATGACAATTTTCTCAATTTTAAACCCGGTAAAAAGAACATATATGAAATTACCTGATCGCGAAAAAGTTTTTACCCTTTCCAAATTGAACATTTCCACATATAAAATAAATAAAATATCCAAAAACTTTTACCTCTAAATCATCTATTACATTATACATGTCACCAACGAATTCATACCGAAGCATTACAAATACTTAGTATCAAATATTTAAAATTATTTCCATGCACGTTTTACTCAACTGAAACGTATACCAAATTCCTACAAACATAAAATTCACAAAAATAACTATCATTTAATTAAAATATAATTAAATTCAAAAACACTACTTTTAAAATATAAATGAGCACATACATTAAATTAATAAAAATTACCTTACAATCCTAATTACTTTAAACTAAATCATTGCTAATAACAATTTTCCCAATATACCAAATTCCTTTACTTCCCACCTTACTTTAGAATAATGCATAAAAATAATACCTCAAATAATTAAAAATACTAACTTACCTCATCTTCTTCAGAATCTTGATTACGTGTCCGATAACTTTTCTTAGTTACGGCCATGGGATCTAAAAATTCACGAACACTTTTCACACAACACAGATAAACTAATACAAAATTTCCAGATTTTTTTCCCGATTTCCCCCCCTTTCCGATTAAAGAACCGTAATTCGTCCATTAATATCACATGACATATCCCATGATCTCTCATTTCCCTAACACAAAAATAATGCGTAATCGGAACTGAGTACTGCTCACATTATTACCAAAGTCCCAGGTAGTAACCTTTATCGCCTCCAAAATGTCGCCAAACTACCAGTTACCATATTGTAAAGATCAACCTTTTTTTATAGGTGAATGTTATTTTAATTCTTCAGTGTTTTGTAACGATTTTAAGTTTTTGAAGCTTACTACCTTTTCTTAACCATGTTTGTTTTTTAAAATTATTACGCTGTTTTTAAAAAATTTTCAGTTTTCAAAATTTTGCTTCAAATTTTATTTTGTATTTAACTGTTCGGCATTGTAAATGTCGCACCTTGCGTAGTGTTTTCTGGAGGGGTTGCAAATCCAGGAGACAAGACACGAGAACGTGCCAAGTTGGCGTTTTTGAAAAACGCGGCACGCAGTGGTCGAATTTAAATGTGTATAGTCCTTGGCAGAAATGAAAGCACATATAACTGAGCACTGTATTGGATGATAGGGAGGAAATGCATAAAAACAATCCTTGAAGATCTGCATGTTATTTGATAAAGCATAAAACAAGAAGACAATATGAATCGCAGCATTTATGAACATGTGCATAGCGACAATTGATTATTAAATGATGGGAAAATGCGATAGATTTAGAATAAAATGAAGAAAACATTCAATTGATATTGTAGTATGAAGAACTAAAATTATAAATGTTTATAATCTTAACAAATTTCGGGTTTTCATCCGCAAAGAACCCGTTGGTTCCATAATTTGATAAAGTACAGAAAATAAAACATGAAATAGTAGATTGTTACATATTTAAATACAGTCTTATGTTTATATAACTGTCTAATTAATTTATGGCATAAAATAAATAACATACATTTCTTCTTCAGAATCTTCTTTCCCATCACACCACTTAAAAAAGGATCGTAAAAGGATATTTAATCGCCTATCGTCTCCCATTCCTTCTCCATCCATAAGTAGTTTACGACGGAATACTTCATCTAAAACAGAATATCATAACGGAAATTATATCTGTATGTGCAAAATTAAGCAGCTGATGGTAATAAAGCAACATATAAGGAAAACACACCATCACTAATTTGAATAGACCCTTGAGAAGACGCGTTTGACATATTTACACTGTAAAAAATGCACAAGTTTATATGATCCTAGAAATAAAATAAAATAAAGTCTACAAATCTTAAATACAATTACGAAATCGTGTGAACCGGCAAACAATCACTGTTGCCAAAAGCTCTTTCCATAAAAAGTAGAAGCCTCCCCTGATTAGCCGCGATATGTGTTGAATTTTATAGAATACTTTTCTATAATTCGAAAGATATTATTCCTTTTATTATTTTTAGTTTAGAAATAAATTTATTTTTGCCACATTATGACGAATTTTCATTAAAGTATTATAAAAAGTTACCGGGAATCGTTATATTGATAATGATACTTTTATCAGGAATAACATTATAAACAAAAACACATGTTTTGAGATATGATTCCTCACGGACTGGAGGAAACGGCGTTAAGCAAAGTCCTCGTCTACTTTCTTTTTGCTTAAAAAGCAAGATTGATTATATGATTATCCCTACTTTTAAATAAATGCGTGAATATGAGTATTACTTCTATAAGTTCCAAATATTATATGGATTTACAGTTGTAAGTTTTCGAGCTCCAGAATTCAAATCTTCTACATGAAAAGATTAATACTGCAATGTTATTCTGTAATACCTAATTGTATACAATTTTACATTTCAGAGATTTTGGAGAAGAATATGGGAAAACAGGAGTTGAAATGGATGAGAAAATGTTTAAATATGCTATTTGTCTGGCTCTAAAAATTATGTATGGTGATGTACGTGATTTTTTTTTCTTTTGTGCTTTAAAGTCATGCATGCAAATATTTAATATTAGAAATATAACGTCAAAAATGAAAAAAAAAAAACCTCTAATATGCAGAATTTGAAAAATTATAATTCGTATTTAATTTGTATAGACCTAAACAGTAATCCATTGTAAGTACAACTTAAGCTTTACCTCCCAGTGAACTTTGTTTATGAGGTGTTGAAAAGGGAAAGTTCTGATTATGCCATTGTCAAGTGGATTTATATTTTACTGATACTGAATTTAATTTATATTACCCTTTACATACCGATTATATTTAATTTGAATCTGAGGAAGTTTTATCGTTATGTAAATTTAGACAGTCACCTAATGTGCTCAAATATGGATGTATTTCCTTCTCGTAAACAAAAAAAAAAAAAAAAGAAATCATTCAATCTTTTTGATTTTTAAGGACTTGTTAAATATAGTTTAATTTAATGTTAAATGAGTGGCACCTAAACGGTATAGAGATTAGTGTCGCTGACTGCCATGCCCAAAGGCCCGGTTTCAAATCCTGAGAAGACACTTATGCTTGTAAATGTATACTGTCGGTGCGGCTGTCTAAATATGTGGCAAGCCGAAAGTCCTCTCGTGTGGTTTGGTGGAAGGGGAGAGGGACCCTCGGACCCATCCTCCCCCGGGTGCTCTCCATCAAAATTGGGGGCGGAACTGAGCAAAATCACACTGTTACCTGTATGCTCAAGGCTAATTGCCAACAACAGGCGTATCTTACGCTCCTTGCCACGAGGAATTTCGTGGGTTTGGGTTGATGTTACTGTCAGACAAGTGAGCATAAGTAACAACAAAAATATTAAACAAGCATTACTTGAATACTATAAATAAATTGAACCTCTCATGGCAGTTACCTTAAGACAGCTACTTCTGTTTAAGAAGGCATAACAAAATAATAGTATTGAATTTTGCTGGTTGTGTTTTCAACGATAACCACCATAACAGATGACCATCTGTATAATCATCATTGCATATACTTTGTAGGCAATGCATAGGAGCATCTGAATTATACTGTTGTACTTACCTAGAGGTACAAGTCCTGATTTAAGCTAAGATTTAGATATAATATTAATTGGATTAAATAATAGCCAATCCAAGAGCTCTTGAACTTAACATTGGTTTATTTGCAATCTAAATGAAAGTGACCAAATTTTTTTCTTAATAATAGAAAAGAAAATTGTACAAAGAGGATAATGATGATATTAGGAATTTATGACGTGGTATGAATGAAATGCTATAACATGTTAATTTAATGCGATTTTAAACTGGAAATGTATAAGACCTGAAATGTTCATATCAGAACTACGCAGAGATATTAAATAATAATGAAAATACAAAATAAATATATTTAAAAATAACTTGAATTACAAGCATAACAGATTTCAGGAAACATCCATTATACAGCCTAATTGTTGAATATTCAGCCACAATTATTATGGTCTGTCAGGTGTTTCAGCAGCTTGGTTACAAACTTTTAGGAGAGATTATGTACACCTAGACAATGGAAAATCAAACAACAATGCATGGTCCAAAATGCTTTCCTAATGCTGTAGTGACAACACAAAACACAAGAAAGGAAGAACATGAAATGGGTGAAGAAACATGTTTATTATGCCTAGTACAGCAAAAATCAAGAAATAAGAACAAAAATTGACAATGATTGTCATCAAAGAAGGTTTTTGAAATTATGACTCCGGACCCTGATGCAGGTCTCGTATCTCCGGCATGTCGAAGATCTGATGTTCTGGCAAAATACCAGGCATGTCTTGGACTTTCCCAGCAGCTGCTATGATGCATGCAACGCATTCCTCAGCACTTCTAATGGGGGTTTTGTACACCAGTGTCTTGACATACCCTTCAGAGGGATCAATGCAAATGAGGTCTGGTGATCTTGCTGGCCAATGCAACGAACCACTCCTGCCTATCATATGTTGAGGAAACATTTTGAACATAATTTCAAACACTTTCTTTGGTAATGATTGTCTGTTTTTGTTCTCATACTTTGGTTTCCACTGCGCTAAGTGTAATAAACGTATATTCTTGCCCTATTCATATCCTTTCTTTCTTGTGTTGTTATTAACATGCAGGAATGAAGTAATGGTAGCAGTTCTAATGTATGAGCAACACTTACTTTGGCAAAATTTATCAGAAAAGAAAGTATTTTAATTAAAATGATTTCATAGTTTTCCTCATCTCCGTGCAATTTTTGCTGCAATTGCTATTACATTAACGATTAGGAATGAGATACATTAATTTACAAAAATAAATAAATAATAATAATACAAGACTTCAGTGCTGATGCAATTATGTGTAACAAGTTAAAAAATGAAAGGAAATGTATTACAGTCAAAAGTCGTTAATCCGGACTCGTCAGGACTTTGGCGATTCCGGAGATGTTTTTTCCGGATTATAGATCATCAGTTTAATCTCGAAGAGGCATCGAAATCTAAATTAAAAATAAACCGTAATTTATGAAATGAGAACAATTTAATCTAAAGGTATCAAAATTTACAAAAAAAAGCTTCATATTTATTTGTTAACTTAATAAACATTTCTTTCAATGTAAGTTGTTTAAGTTGCTTCGTTTTATGTGATATACTTTCTCTTTAATCTATAAAAACATAATTTTTCAGTTACAAGTTGCTGTTCAAGTCCCTTTAATTGCTATGCCGAGCAATACGACTTAATAATCGAAATTTTTTCGTTTTCCTAACCTCTCTCTGTCACATTCTTCATGTCTTTACCATTTTTTGCAGCATTCCACTTTTGTTTGATGTCATCGAAACATACTTCGTTTGTAGATCCTTTGCGAGCTCCAGCATCGGAAATTCTATTTGACATATCAAAGTTCAATTTTACTTGTCTAAAATTGCTCTTACGTCTGCAAAAATAATAAGGGATCCAATTCGAAGATTAAGGAACAATGCACAGCAACATTAACTGAAATAGATAATTAGATAATTTTAGCTTATACCGTCCGTTATACATAAAACACGCACGCGAAAACGTATTTTGCACTTGCGCACACGCATATGCGCAGTCGTAAAAGGTCTTATGCGCACACGTAAATGCCTATGCGCATATGTCAACGCTGCGCATGCGCAGAAAGTTTTTAGCTTTGAGGTCCGGATTATAGATCATTCCGCATTATGGGTGTCCAAATTAACGACTTTTGACTGTAATAAGATAATTTGTCGTAGGAATATGACTAAGTACAATGAGATGCACAAAAAAATTCTTCCCCGCTTAGTTCCTTAAAAAGTTGTTTATTGTAATTCGATGTACTTACATATACTAATGTAAATATATTGTTTGTATGAAGTAGAATGTACAATGAAAGATTTTTAATTTTTTCGAGTATTATTTAATCTAATCTGCCATAACCAACATTTGTTAATGGTTATTTCTTTGTAATAATTGTATACCGTGTTTTTGTAATTGTATATTCAATACGTAAGTCTAGTATTAATGTAAAATTTCTATGTAAATGTCTTGTTAGGCTAGCATCCGACGCGGGCCAACTGAAAGCCCTACTGGGTACAGTAGTGCGGCGGAGCAATACCTGTAAAAGTCACTGACAAAGTTCTGGTGCTCCGTCCACTTTTCCCTGTCCCTGTGCATTGCTATGTGTTTTTTCATCGTCTAGGTGTACTTTATCTCTCATGAAAGTTTGTGATCAATTTTCTGAAACACCCTGTACATAAAAGGAAAATTTCTCACTTTTTTAAATTTCATTTTATATATTTACTTTTTTTTTTTTTTTATTTGCATCTTTTTTTTTTTTTTTTCTGTTGTATTTTAAATAATCATATTTTGGGGTTTTTTAAAACCATTTAATGTGTACTAATGATTCAGATGACAAGTTCCAAACAGGTATTATACTTATGAATTATACCAAAAGTTATGAACTGCTTTATAAAATGATATGCAGATATGCACTGCTTTATAAAAGTTTAGTGACCATCACTTTTATAAAAGTTTTTAATTTTTTAAAAGAAATATTTATAGGATTTTTAATTATATATATAAAAAGAGAAAATACTGTTTCTTTATGTGAAGATCAAATAAAAATTGACTTTACTTGTGAGAGAGCAAGGATAGTTTTGCAGGTTTGATTGCCTGTAAAGAACTATAGGTACTTTTCTGTTTCGCTGGTGCAAATCTTGCCAAGCAGTCTTTATTCACGACAACATAAAAGAATGTTAACAAATGTTCTAAGAATTTTTTATTTTGAAGGCATAAACATTTTAATATCATTTAAAATTCTGTAAAAAGACATTAGTTTAAGAATTTACTATGTTTTCATGGTACAACATCCCGATTTGCTGGTTCATATCACGTGGCTCCAAGTGATCTCATCTCACGTAAACTACGATAAATTACAATTCTAGCTGGAGCGCACCGAAGCC